TTTTTTTTTTTTCTAATTGTACCTTAATTTACTTTGTTCAGCAAATTTGTTGTTTGTGTTTGGTGAAGTGGGAAAAAGTAGAACTTAAGCTAAAGCAGTTTTTCAAAGTCAATTCTACCAAATTTTTTCATCTTTCCTACTAAAATTCTCCGTTCGGTTTTTTTTTCCTTCTGCCTTCACCCTCACTCCCTCCTTCTTTACCTTACTTCAAAAATTCCATCATTTGTCTAGCAGAAACAGTTGGTAGAAAGACCTACTTCTTCATTGCATTACTTCTGTGCTCTCCCACTCCACCAAAATGGCAAAGCTCATTTATTTTCACCAGTCCCTCTTCCCTCTCAGCCGGTTTAATTTTCCTCTCATTTAATTCTCGTTTTTCCGGCATTAAACACCAAAAAACTACCACACCGGCTAACCATTTTTCTGCAGTCTTTTTTTTCTAAAAAATCAGAATTTTCGGTTAGTGCAAATGTTGTAGATTCAAGAAATCCACTTCTGTTTCATTTTTTATTTAAAATGCTTTTTTGTTAGTGCCAAACTTCATAACTGCATTGCTGAAGCTAATAAAACTGAGAGGCTGTTAATCGCCACGGATGTTATCAGTGCAGCGACTAAAGGTCTTCATACATTCAACTGTGTATCTTCTTCCACCTTTAATTTGAAAAAAGTAATTGCATATTAGCCTAAAAGAAGAATTGTTTTTATCGACTGGTGTACAGTTTATACGACTTTTTTCTCGTACTCCTGTAGTCGACCAACACCTGCAACAGTAATGGTCGCTGAATGCTTACAGCAACTGAAAGTGCTTGTCAACGTCAGGCCAAACGCAAGGTTCCCTTCTTTACTGTCTTGGATCTTCGTCGATTTCCTTCTGTCTCTTTGGCTTGTACACTTAACAGGTGGAAGAAAAGATGAATAATAGAAGGAACGGGGTGTGTTTCAGAATTTCATAACTTCTTGAGCAAAAAATGATTCTGTAACAAAAAAAGTTCCTCATGTTATTGAACAAAAAGCGCTTTCTTTCAAAATGAGAACCGTTAATTGATGATCAAGGAATATATAAAACAAATTTTCTCCTGCAATGTGTAATCTAAATTAAAATATTCGTCAGACAGAACTGAAGACAAAAAACCATAAATATTGATAGAAAGTTGATTGCTCTTCAAAAAAAAAAAAAAAAAAAAAAGTAGAGAAAAAAAGGGAAACATCGAAATAATTTTGTTCTTTATTTTACATTTTCACCTTATATTTATTCATTTATATATGGTTAACTATTTAATTATTTATTTTTTCACCTAACATCAATAGCTGTTGTTGCTATTCTACTAATTGAAGCAGCAGGCAACAGATGCCATAGAAGTTACAAAATTAGCTTGCCGTCTTCAAAATTTTCTGTACTGCTTTACAGCGTTAACCGATTACTTCAACTCAGCTGTCACAGATTCTTCTCATCTTCAACTTTTTCTTTCCTTCTCTGTTTTCTATCTTTTCGTTTTTACAT